CAGCGAAAATATATTCAATTAAGTATGTATTACTAGTTGTAAATAATAATAATTATAATTTTAATCACCTAGACTTGACTGGTACACGATATAAAGATAGTGTTTTATTAACTCTTCGAGATAAAGTGCAATTTAATCATAAGCATGATAAAAATACACTATTTACATAATTATTAATTTCATTTTCATGTGAGAATACGAGTTTTCGTTTTAAATATGACATGTTTTGACGTGTTAACGATTATAGCGCTGGTTTATATCAATCCAAGATATTTTACTAATGAATGTGTCGAAATAAATTTTTCTGTTTAAATAAATTTCACGTATTAAGAAGATTACAACTCTTAGATATAAATTTGTATGAAAAAAATATATTAAAATCATTGGTTTTACTAAAGCTCGTACGAACCGAACATGACTCAATGGTGACCGCGACGCGGTAACCTATGCTTTCCCACCTGAATATGACACCGCGTCCACACATCCAAATAGTCTCATACTAATATAAGTTAAATAGCAAAAAAGAACTCTCTGAAGCTCAAAATAAAGTTACAAATTGCCTAAACGTATTTGCTTTGAACCCTCAGTCAGACGGATTAGCTGAACGCGAGTGACCTATTAAAACGATCGATTGTTTCCTTATTATAGCGCTCGGAAATGTAAATCCTAGTAAAAATTACATTATGTTAATAATATATTTTATTGAATCCGAAACATTATTATTTCGATTTTCACTTAGGGTAAAATAATTTGATGATAGACAAATAATGGAGTACATGGCCTGCGGGAGTTCAGACTCTAGCACCATCCAAATAGGGCTTGAACCAGCCGTTAAGTCGGAGAAGTTCAAGTACCTTGGATCCGTCCTGCACGAGTCTGGAAGCATCGACCACGACGTTCAAGCCCGTATAAGCGCTGCTTGGGCCAAATGGCGGGAGGTCACTGGTGTGGTCTGTGACCGCAGAATACCGCCCAAGCTCAAGGGACAGATATACAAGAGCATTATCCGACCGGTCCTTTTATATGGAAGCGAGTGCTGGCCAGCGCTATCTCGGCACACTCAGGAGCTTCACGTCACGGAGATGAAGATGCTGAGGTGGATGTGTGGCATAACGCGGGCTGACCGCATACGCAACACATTCATCCGGGGCAGTCTCGGGGTCCGCGACGTAGCGGATAAGCTCCAAGAGCGGCGTCTGGGGTGGTATGGCCATGTTGCGCGTCGGTCTGAGGAATATGTCGGAAGAAAGTGCCTTGATATATCTGTCCCTGGAACAAGACCTCCCGGGCGCCCAAGAAAGCGATGGCTGGATGTCGTGAAGCAGGACATGAGAGCCAATGGACTTACCCAGGATGATGCTAAAGACCGTGCAAAGTGGAGGAGGCTAAGCAGGAAGGCAGACCCTGGCAATAGCCGGGATTAATAATGCCAGGCAGAAGAAGAAGAAGATAGACAAATAATAAGAAAAGAACTTATGAAGAACACTTGTTAATAAAATTTCTATCAGTTATTTTTACCATTCCCTGCTACACATATTTAGATTTGATCACAACCAACAAAAATATATTATTAGAATCGCTTTTAAGAATAAAATTGTATAGGATGCCAAAAAAATCATAAGGTTTCGAATTTATACAAGTTTAACTAATATCGCTAGTCTAGTATCCAACCGTCAACCTTAAAGCCAAACCCGACTGTCATATAAAAGTATGTATGGCAGTTGGGAGACTGACCTGTGTTCCGGCCATATTTGTTAGTGTATAAATATACACAATAGTTATTCTTTATTAATATTATATATTCATTATAAATAACTTATAATTTGTGCTAAATTCAGTAGTTACTGGTGTTATCATATAGTTAATAAATATTTATCAGTGGTAATTGAAAATTGAAAGGTCAAATGAATTTTTGTATTAATACCTATGGTTCGTATATTTTTAAGATAACAAAAATCCAAAGTATAAGAACACAAACATTTTTTTATAGCTGTGCTAAATGATAGCGGTTTTAATTTTATAAACATATTTATTCAATTCCACATCGAAATATTTTTCTTCTTATTAAATCTTCTCTTTTGGTAGAAGGTATTGGAGACTCATCGTTCGTTTAGTTAGAAGGAATAGTACTCGTAGAGGCTGTAGTCATGCGATGTCGGTAATATAGTGACTCTGCGTTTTAAGCAGACTATAAATGAATATATAGTACAGACAAATATGCTAATATTATATATATATATATATATATATATATATATATATATATATATATATATACTAGCGGCTCACCCTCGCTTCGCTCGGGTTCACCTCTAGAAAACCACAAACATTTTTCCGAGATGAAAAGTAACCTGTTGTTTGACTGGCAATATAAGGTATCAGCTTGCCAAATTTTACTAAATTAGGTGCGAAGTTGTTGTGTACTAAGCTGTATAAGTTACTACAATTTTTTAACTATCCCACGGAAACTCTTTAATTTTCTGGAATGAAAATTATCTTAGACGTTGACTGGGGATATAAGGTAGTACCAAGCAAAATTTCATTTAAATCGGTACAATAGTTTCGGAGATTAGCCCGTTCAAACAGACAGACAGACAGAGAAACAAAAAAATTGAAAAAAATTGAAAAGAACTGGATTTGTTCTATTTCTCTTCTTTCGGAATGTAAGAAGAGAACTGACTCGGTTTTCAGCATTTTTTTTTCTAACCTCTACAGTTTTATTATATGTATAGATAGAATAAATAACGTATAATAAAACAGTAATATATAATAATCAAATAAGTTATAGCGAGTGTATCTTAGGAGATAGACATATACATACTATGTAGAACTTTTCTATAGACCTTTTTAAGACTTAAAATTTTCTTGCACAATGTTTTGATCTATCTTTTAAGGTTGAGCCAAAGTTAGCCATATAAATTTCTAAGGACGATTCGATAGAACCAGTTATTGTGTTTTCCCGTGGGAATGAATAATTTGCCTGTCGGAAAAGATATCCTAAATGTTGACCCGAGTACTAAGTTTTATCACTATACAAAATTTAGTTAAAATCGGTTGAGTACTTTTTGCGTGAAACGCACACATCGATTTGACTAAGTTAGTTTTATTATACGTATAGATAAGAATAAATATTGCAAGTGTAACTTAGGAGATAGACATATACAATTCAAAACTTTTCTGTAGGACTTTTCAAGACATACAATTTTTTAGTAAATGGTTTTGATGTATGTATGTCTTAAGGCTTAGCCAGCGGAAAGTTTCTAGGGAGGACTCGATAAAACCAGTTATCGTATTTTCCCGTGGGAAAGTAAGATTTTCTTGAAGTAAAAGGTATCTAGGCAGTTGTATCCCAGTGGTAACGCGCTCGTTTGGGAAACAGAGTGAAGCAAGTTCAAATCCCGGATCTCGCACCTCTAATATTTTCATATGCGAATCATTTCTAACACAATTACCTTTATCTATTATTTTGGGGTCTATGTTGTGTACATAATACGTTACAAATATACAAAAACATCTATCCCAAGGGAACAGTCCATTTTTCCGGGATAAAAGGTAACCTATTTGTTATTCTGATGTATGAACTATATATATTATTGTAAAGTTTCATCAAAATCCAATCAGTAGTGTTTGTGTACTAAGCTGTATAAGTTACTATAGTTTTTGGCTATCCCACGGAAACTGTTTAATTTTCCGGGATGAAAAGTAGCTGATTTGTTTTTGTCATGTATGAACTATATTATTGTAAAGTTTCATTAAAATCCAATCAGTAGTTTTTGTGTACTAAGCTGTATAAGTTGTTATAGTTTTTTAACTATCCCACGGGAACTCTTTAATTTTCCGGGATGAAAGTATCTAAAATGTTGCCCGGGGATATAAGGTACCACCATGCAAAATTTTATTTAAATCGGTTCAACAGATTCGGAGATTAGCCCGTACAAACAGAAAAACAGACAAACAGCTCGCTCGGGTTCGTCCATACCTACGAATATGTTGTATTATCTCTTTAACCATTTGTCCAAATTATATGCAGTAAAAGGGAAAAGTCTTTTGTTTTAAACATTTTAGACGATAAATTTACTTATTTTGATAAGAATTCATAATTGTTGATAATATGACCAATAAACATGACCTACCGATTTAAATTATTTTTTTAATATAAAAAAACTACTTTTTGTGACTTAAATATAAAAGTTAGACATACGCTGTCGCTGACTTTTTTGTAGGCTTTATTAAGCTCTACAACTTTTCTCTAGAACATAATCATATATCTCTCATAGTTAAGGCAGCGTTCGTAAGAAACGTTTTCGTTCGACCGTTTTTTCTCCGACTTACTTTGCAAATTCGAATACCACGAAAAAGCCTTTTCATTCTTCGGGTTAATTTATAGCCTATGACACTCAGAAAGAACGTGGCTTTCTATTGGTAAAAGAATTTTGAAAATCGGTTCAGTAGATCCAGAGATTACCCCCTACAACGTCACAAACTCACAAACTCACAAGATCACAAACTTTACCTCTTTATAATATTAGTATAGATATATATAAACTATCCAGTAGTTTATGTATATAAAAGCCCATGAATTGTGAACAAAATCCGCATATTCTGAAATAAAAGTAAGTTACTCCTTATGACATCAACTATCTGCCAGTGTAAATTCTGTCAAAATCAGTTCAACCGTTTCGGAGATTATGCCAAGGAAAAAGACAGACAAAAATTAGAAATAAACAATTTTCTTATAAGTACCGTATATAGTTTCATATGTATTTAGTAAAAGGCTATTATTTTTACATTATAAACACACTTCAATTTTAATTACTTATATAGATTAAGCGTCTGTTATGCGATGTTTGTGACAACTGGGTGGTCTTATATATTATAATTATTTTAAGAAAAATCCGCTTTTAAATTAGAAATTATGCCTTTTTAAATAATTAATTACAGGTCAGTGTATCGTTTTATAAAAGTACCTAATTATTAAGTAAAATATTGAATGGTTCCAGGTGGTGATCTGCGGCGCGGTTCCATCGATGGTTCGGTCGGTTCGCCTTTACAGCCAATGCTCGCACATGTTCGTCAACGTGTTCCCCAACGGCACTGTTATGGCTCGCTCCGATGGAAACGACCAACGTAAGTACTGTCATATAAAATCAAAATATAATATTTGACTTTTACAAGCTTTTGAATCGTCAAGTTAAATTAAAGTCTTAAAGAAAGATGCTACTACTAGAAATGAAGTTTGGAGAACCAGCGGAAAACTCAAAATTGATTTTAATCAATTTGCTAATAGATTTGTTGATATGTTAAAATATATTAACTTTGTGTTTGTCTAATATTTCTATAATAAATTTTTGTTTTGTTTTTAATATTTATTGATCTATATTTAAATTTTTAATTATTCTATATATATATATATATATTATATATATATATATATATATAATATATATATATATTTATAATTTAAACTAATACTTTAACTTAGTATCCATACAACGTGACTATGTACAACCAATATAATTATAACATTTGACGTAATTTTATATACATGTAAATTTCCCCATACATATGCCTGAGACATGTAAGCTTACGTAATTAGCAGAGTAATTAAAGAAAAAATATTATTAAACATCAATTCGCTAATTCTTGTTAAGATTTACCTTATGGATATGGTAAAGCTAAGGAATTTTGAATGCGTTTGTAAAAGCATACTAAGTCCGCCGTAATCATGGGAGCTAGACGTGAGAAACTATAGGAATATGTCAATACTTAAAGGGTCATTGGCCATGTGTTGCAAGTGAAGTCCGCGGTACAATATGCTAACGGGTATCGTAGAAGTAAAGTAGCAAGGGTTGGAAGTTGATTCTTTTCTTCATAAATATTTATTATTTTATTTTATTAGTCTTAAGTGGTTGTGGCTGTTATTCTGAGAATCTTCTATATAGTAAAAATATATGGTATGTACGTATGAATGAAAATATTTTTTTTTGATTTCTTACACGTATGAATTTATTAAATATATGCACAATTCGAATTAATCGAAACATTTTAGATAAGGATATTAAATATTGAATATGATATCTAATTCTGTTTGGAAGGTTCTCAATGATTTTATTACTACAATTTATGCTTCAATTGAAACGAGTTTTTATTACAATAGCACGTTGTTAGATAAATAAACAATTAATAGCTTACGCAATCGTATTAGTAATGCATCATAAAAATCATTGGAATCTGACCTTTTATTACTTTCCGAGCGTATATTGACTTAGAATACAAATCGAAAGAACGTAAGTGCTATTGTCTAAAAAACCTGCCTATTCTCAAATCTATACATATAATAAAATTGTAACTAAGCCGAATCTGTACATTAAATATTTTTTGGAAAATCTTATTGAAATAAACATTATTATCGATACAGAGGTCGAATATATAGTTTTTAGAATTTTTGTCTGTCTATCTGTTACCGCATCACAGAAAAAGCACTGGAGGGATTTTCATGAAATTTGGTATGGTGATAGCTGGTTATCCGGGCCAACATATAGGGTGCTTTTACCGCGGGAAAATATCTCATTTCTGAGAAAAAATACAAAAACTGCAATGTAAGAGTATACTAATATGTAAATCCTAAGAATTTGGTTTTTGGTTATCTGAACGCGGGCGGAGCCGCAGGCAATGCTAGTAGGAAATATATTGCCGTCATTACTCAATGTTTGTAAATACACGCAACTTTTTAGCATACCTAGTCCACTCTCTAAATAAAAAGTGCGTATAGGTATACTTTCACATCGGGTTGTTTCGCTTTGTGGTTTGCACAAGAATTATCGCAGGTTCTTTTACGGGCACCGGGCGGTAAACGTGAAGGACCTTTTTTATTTGAAAATAAATAAAGGAATTCGCCTTTGTCCTCTTAAGTTGTAATCTTAAAAGCAAGACAGGGAATGCTTACGTTGGGGTCATGTAATTGTAATGTAAGCCTTTAAACTTTGAGGAATTTAAAGTACCAGCGCATACTACACGGCTTTATTTTTTCAAGGATTGGACGTTTCAATTAAAAGGATGGTTAGATGTTTTTTGTTCATACTTCGTGTATATGTGGAGTCAGATTCAATTTTCATGTGCATTTTCGACCAGTCAGTAAAAGTTGATTGTTAACAAGCACATATATCGGCGGGATGAACTATAAGAAAATGACATAAATTTCCTAGAACGTTTTTAAATTTATGTAATTAATGTCCATTCAAACTCACAAAGACAATAAAATACAGGTATAGCCTTTTAAACTCTTATTTAATAATATGCAAAATATCACCCACTCAGATATAAAACCTTAATATTTTTTTCACTTATTACTTTTTTTCATTACTTAAAGCTTATCGCTTTATCTTGATTCCATACCATTTCGGGTATTTTATGAACTTCCCACGCAAAATGTATTATTAGTTTGACACGATTTCTTACTAAAGAAAGATTTTAGCGAGGTTAAGATGTAAATGTACTTAGGCGAAAAAGATATTTCGTAGTTATCTTAATACCTAGATAAGTCACAGTTCAAAAAATTTACTATATTAATTTCTTAGTTGGTAGTATTTTTGATGAACGCGTTCTGTTCATCGATCACATTATATATGTTGTTGGAACATTAACACACAGCACCATCTAGTTCCATGGTAAGCTACGAGGCTTGTGTTATTGATACCAGATAGTTGATACACTACATATATATAACTTTAAATACATACATAATATAAACAAAAATATACATTATGATTTTTATTTCATTTGTACTTCTTTTGTTATTATTTTTATACAAACAAACACAAACATTTATAATATTAGTATTCACGGATGTTTTTTTTAAGTTTAAGTGGTTAAAAGCAAAAGTACGTTCAGATATGAACTACCCAACACACATAATTCTTAATTTGACGTATATAGAAAAATGAATACAGAATCATAGTATATATATATCTATAGCTCTAACATATTATTTTCTAATATCCAATATTGTTGCACTGATGTAGGGCTGACCTATTAAATAAACTGACATAGCATTTCACCAGACATGAGCCGCGTAATTAATCGTTAGCAGTAATTTGATTTATGTATCGGAATGTTACGCCAACAGAATTTGAACCTTGCATAACAGGTTCAAATCGCTTGAACAGCGAATTGATTGAAATATTTCATTTTGTCGCTTAGTTTCAAAGATAAATACGTCGAGACATATATGATACCGAATTAATTATCACTAAATATAGCTAACGATTGTCAGTTTAATCTAAAATATTTATTGATGCGATTTTAATACAGTATTGTAATTAAAAATTAATAAATATATTAAAAAATCAGCTTAAGTAATCCTTTAAGCTTCATTGACTAATTTTATTCTTAAAACTCTGTATATCTCTATATATCGTGCATCAATCGCGTGAGAACAAACATTAACGCTTTAAAAATAATCACTTGAGTAGAGTACGTGTTGGTAGGGAGGCAATAAAAGAAACGACGGCCAATATTAAATTTAACGATTTAATATTAAAATTGCCATTATCAAATGGTCTCTCCTTATCGTAGTATGGTTTATGAGGCTCCTAATGAGTGGGAGGTCTTGTTATGATTGTCGTTTGCCATCATCGGACGCATTGCGCCGCCTCCTGCCGAATATCGCATAAAATATGTGACATGTTTTAATTAAAATTTGATTTCAATGCGCTGATAAAGAAGTTAAATAATTTATGTAGAGTTAGGAAAATATGAATAATAAGTGTTTGAAGTGCCGGTGCCTCAGGGTACTAAGAATTCTCATATAAGTTACTTATTACACGAGCGTGTTAAAGAAAGTTTGAAGTCGGTACCCTATTCAAATAATAATAAAAAAAATTCTCTTAGACTATAATTTGATTCTTTTTTTGTATTTTAAAGCCCAAAAGTTTTTATACGTTTACACAAAGATTTTTTTACATGTTATTACAACTTAATCAAGACCCACCCAAAGAGAGTAGCAAAAAAGGAAAATAAAATCAGAATTTTAGTCTTTAGCGCTTCTTCAACGTTTTTTTTGCATCAATTCTTCGAAAGATGATTGTCGGCCCGCAAATTATATGAAATCAATCGACGAAGGCGGTACGGCGCCTTCCTAAATTAAGTTGTTATATCAAAATTAATAATAACTGCCCATAATGCCCTCCGTTTTGCAAAAAAACTTACCACACGCATTCACTCTATTATTTCTTCTAATCTAATAAGAAAAGTTGCGCCTGGTTTATATAATTGAGTTACAACTGTCTAGTTAGAGATTCCGGGAATTTGATTGTTTGTGTCAAGAACCTTTTTTTGATATACATACATAAGTTGTTTATATTGGAAGCTCGAACGCTTTAATGGTATTGTATTTTTTAGGTTAGACAAGTGGCTTGTTATCTAGGTCAATATTACTCTTTATAGCGATCCAGAATTAAATATTAATTATTACTTATCAATTTTTTGTATTTTGGAAGCATAATATGCACTTTTAATTAAACTAATAAAATATTTGCCCAAAAAATATCAGATAATCAAGTACTCCATAAAAAAACATTTTTATTTGATTGTGAAATGTTAACAGCTATAGTGCCTATCGATTGAATTAAAAAAGTAATTTATATGCGTTGTTTAGACTCCTTATCAATATAATTGGCTTTATAGTAACATCTGTTAGCAACAATTACGCGTTGGGTGGTCGCCAGCTCCGGGTCTTTGTCGTATAAACGAAAAAATAACTTAGTGTTTACTAAACATATTACATTGTAATAAATTTTGAAATCAGGTTGTTTAATGAACGGTCGTTCGATATTTTTAAGTGTTTATAAACGATTGCTTTCTCTGAAATTCGAACAGAATATTTTTATGTGCTTGTTTGAAGTTTGCATTTAGTCACTTTATTACCATAATATTTGTTTTGCTTATATAAAATAATTATTTGTTACATAATCTGAAACTGCTTTTTAAATTTACTCACATCGATTTGAGCTAAGGGAATTTCGTGTGCCGAAAATCATTTTAAATCAAGTAATTTGCTAATATAGTGATTGGGTTTCGGAAAATTTATATAAACATATACTCTATAGAGTACGAAATCTTTGATAAAA